TGAGATTCCTTTGTTTTTTCTCTTCTCCGCTCCCCAATTGCATGGTTATATTACCCTTATAAGGAGCCCTCATAGTGTACTGCTTACTAATTGGGCTGCTAACCTCGAGGTTAGCAGTGCAAAACTACCAGCCATTCCATAGGAGAAAGATGAGGCTTTCTGCTCCCATAAAGATTTACAGACTCAGAAACCCTATGCAGGGTTGCTATGAGTCAGAACCGACTCCACAGCACATAACCACCACCATTACCCTTATGCTTAAGAAAACTTTTCCTGTCTTATAAAAATCCTCTTTATGCTATGGACACACTGCCTCATATCCCACCCTGGTAGCATAGTGGATTACGAGCTGGACTGCTAACTGCAAGGTCAGAAGTTCAAATCTACCAGTAGCTCTAAGATATAAAGATGAGGCTTCCTGTTCCCATGAAGATTTATAGCCTTGGAAGCCCTCGCTATGAGTTGTAACTAACTTGTTGTTAAGTACCGTGGAGTCGGTTCCGACTCATAGTGACCCTGCATAGAGTTTCCGAGGCTATAAATCTTTATGGGAGCAGAATACCACATCTTTCTCCTGCAGAACCGCTGGTAGTTTCGAACTGCCAATTTTGGGGTTAGCAACCCGATTTGTAACCACTGAGCTACCAGAGCTCCTTTGGAACTGACTAGAAGGCACTTAATAACAACACTTCTCTTGGGACTCCTCTTTTTTTAAAATATATGTCCTGGTGTGGTGCCGTGAGTTAATGCGCCAGACTGCAAAGCCATTTGAACTGCAAGGTTGGCAGTTCAAGCTCACCAGCTGCTCCTCAGAATCCCTATACAGGGTTGCTATGGGTCAGAACCAACTCAAAGGCAGTTAACAACAACAACATCATACTTCAGACATATTATCAGAAGGGACCAGTCCATGGAAAAGGATATCATGCTGGGTAAAGTGGAGAGTCAGAGAAGAAGAGGAAGACCCCCAATGAGATGGACTGGCAGCAGCAATGGCCTCAAGCAACTAGTGTGTAGATGACACAAGACTAGGCAATGTTTCGTTCTGTTGTGCATAGGGGTCGCTATGTGACAGAACCAACTCAATGGCATCTAACACCAATAACATCTTTGAAATGCCATAGCTTCACTGGCACTTGAAACAATAATCTATCTGAGATGAAAACATCAGCTGCATTCACTGTCCTCCTTTTAAATATCCAATTGTTCCACAAACACACACACAAAATCAGAGAAAGTGTTTTGTAACTCATGGAAAAACACAGAGGGCTGTCTCCTTCCCTCCAAAGAGGCGACAGAATTCTAAAATCGGCTGCTCGTAGGGCGCCCTTCAAGAGATGGTCAAGTAGGGCACACTTGTGAACCAGCCCTCCCATTCTGGCTCTTTCTGGCTAAAATACACCATCGTGTATTTCTGTTTTCTGGAAATGGGCGTGCTGTTTAATGGATCTTAAATGTTTTGATCAGCAGAAGTAAAACAGCAAAAGAGAAGTCAACATCTAATGTAGGCTAGGTTACAGTGTGTCTACTCAGTGGAATATTAGGCAATCTCATAAACCAACATGCAAGCTGCCTCAAACAGTAAGTAGAATAAAGCAGGTTACTCCATCATATATCCCCATGGTAAGACCTACAGAATGCAGTTGGTGTAAGTCCAGTCATTAATAGTTCATGTATACAAGATACTTGCTACACATGTGCTTACATGAGTTAAAACTTCACAATTCTATTATCCGCATTTTGGAAAGGAAGAAATGGAGGCACCAAGAGGTACAGAAATTCTCATCTGGTCCTCCTAATGGCTAAGATTTAGAGTATTCTGGTAACCTCCCCTAAAGCCAAGCTGGGAGATAGAGTCAACAATCTATCTTTGCAGTTTATACTCTCAATTCCTAGAACGGAAGGGGATGTGTAAGAAATCTAAAATGAAAGTAGAATTTCTTTCAGAAAAGGGACTATTTTCTTCCCCTCTATGGTCTAATCTTCCTAGAATGATTCTATTTTTACAATTTAAGGAGAGGAAAAGGGCAGTGGAGGAGAATTTTATTTTTTTAATAACTGCGTTTATGTGTATGGTTTTTAAATTATGTTTTGATCAAAAGACTAAATAAATGCCAATCAAGTCTCTACCACACTTGGGAGTTAAGGGTAGGAAATGAAGAGAAAAGAATGATGGAGCGCAGCCAAGACAAGCAAGTTCCAAACTAAACCAAACAGCTCCAAGCTGCTGTCCTGCGCCATCTTTTTTTTTTTTTCTATACTCCTTCCGCCATCTTGTTCCAGTTTGAGCATGAATTCTAAAATCATGAAAATGGATTGAAAGAGGATGCAGAATGTCATAGATAATACTAATATTACATAACTACTATTGGTAAAGTTGGGAATAAAATTCAGGTCTCAACTCCCAAACCTGCATTCTTTCACAAACTCATCATGCACTGAACAGTCCCAGCTCAGCTAACACCAATCTGTGTTTACTGTCATTCAAGTATCCCTATATGGTGTAAAAAGTTAAGCACTCTACTATTAATGGGAAGTCTTGGTAGTTCGAGCCCAACCACAAGAATCTCGGAAGACAAGCTTCCCAAAGGTCAAAGTTTTAAAAACGCTTGAAGCAGTTGTACTCTGCACACAAGGTTTCCATGAGTTCAAATCAACTCAACAGCAACTGACGACAACAGCAACTTATTAAGTACAGTGTTTATTAATCCTCCACATCGAACTGATCATAGAGTTCACATATATTATCTCATTTGAAACTAAAACTACAAATGTTAAAATTCCAACAATTTGAAGCCACACTAGAAACAGGGAAAAACTGACATAATATTTTTAAATTCTGAAAAGAAGAAAAGAAAAGAAAAGCTTGGGGGGGGGGCAGAGCATCCTAGCCATCTGACCCGTGAAGACACTTCTAAGAGCTGGGAAGCATTATATATAGAGATCGCTTCAGAAAAGTTACATGCAACAAAGAAAGTAAAATATTCCTATCAAAACAAAATAACCCTCCTCCCCCCTAAGCTTTCCCCCAAAACCTCTCTGAAGAATGTAGACACTTCAGGGATATAGAATTCCAGGTAGCTGGAATTCACAGAGGAACCTCAAGGAAAGGTCTACGATACATTTCCTGAAGGTCACTGCCACTGGAAACCCAATGAAACACAGGTCCCCACCATGAGTTGGAATCAACTTCAGGGACACTGACTAGGTTTAGGGTTTGGATGGATGAAGGGCCTGTCTTGGAGGAAGGAAGCCTAAAGGGAGCATCACACATGAGGATATGCTGGCTCCAAACCCAACGCTTCTTCCTGTGCGTCACAAAAACTGGGCCTCAACCCATGGGCAAGAGCTACGTTACACATTCAGGCCATTATCCTATCCTCAGTCATTTCCTCCTCTGGCTTCCACAGCGACAGAGGGTTCAGAGCCAGAACACAAGGCCTCTCCTGCCAGATAGGCCACATGGCCTGGTGCCCAAAACCCAAGGAAAGAACCACGAGCCAGCTGTCCAGTTGTGTGGTCCCAGCCCATCCCCACTAGCCAACCCTGTGCTCACACTGCTTAGGTGTGGTGCTGAGCTCACTCTGCAGAAACAAGCTCTAGGGTAGAAAGGCATCTGCCTCTACAGGGCAGACCTCCACGGGTCTCCTCTCTCATACATGATCCCCACCCAACTCTCGAGCACATGTGCAGGTATCCAAAATCATTAAGAAGACTGAATATGCAGAAGGGCATAGGAAGAGTCACCAATACCACCTGATCGTGGTGCTGCTTATCTGAAGTTGATGCCCCAGGTGAGCACACAGGTAATTTCGGCACAAACACAGAACTGGAGAAGCAGAGTATTATCTGTTCAGGACCAACTCGATGCTGGACATTTGACACTATAACTGTTGTTGCTGGTGGTAATGGTGCCGTAGAGTCAGCTCTGACTCATGGTAATGCCGTGTACCACAGTGGTACTGCGCCAATTCACGATCATTGGCATGCTCAAAGCCAAAGTAGTCACTGTGTATTTTGAGTGCCTTCAACCTAAAGGGCTCATCTCCCAGCCCTATACGGGGCAACATTCTGCTCTGTTCCATAAGGTTTTCATTGGCTACTTTTCAGAAGCAGATAGCCAGGGTCCCTTTCAGTGGACGTACCACTGAAATCCATGCACCATGGGTGAGCCAGCTGGCCTACTACCCAGCATCATAGCAGCATGCAAGCCACCACAATAACACAGGCTGGCAGGTGGGTGGTGGAACATAATGCTACACCAAATTTAACAGTCAAGAAAATTCCATGATGCACCACAAGATGGTTGTTGTTGTTGTTAAGGGCAGTTGAGTCGGTTTCAACTTATAGCAACTCTGTATGGGGTTTCTGAAGAGAGGCTGGTGAGCTTCAATCGCCAACCTTGCAGTTCAAAGCAACCTTGCAGTCCAGTGTATAACCTGCACCACCACACTAGGATTCCACATGACAGTTGCCATTGGCTATTACCAGTTTGGGTCAGACAGTCCTAGGTTCAAGTCCCACATCTGCTACTTGATGGACAGTTAAGATACAGAAGCTGAGAGTCTCTGTTACATCTCGTGCATAGTATGTAAAGTGGAGGCAAAGACAGTACCCTAGAGCCAGATGTGGTTTCCAAAGTTGCAGTCTCATTTCTGCAAAGACCACGCTGCCCTGAGGCAGAGGTACAAGACAGATATGGCAGAGCTCCTGACCAGAGACCCAAACCCACCAGCGTGCAAGCAAGCAAAGTTTGCAGGGTCTGAGCCTGGTGGGGCTCTGCAGGATAAGCACTGGACTGCTAACCATAAGGCTGGCAGTTCAAATCCACTAACCACAGGAGAAACATGAGGCTTTCTGCTCTCATAGATACACCGTCTCAGAAACGCTACACAAGGTCGCTGAGAGTTGGAATTGAATCAATGGCCAGGAGTTTTTGTTTGCGAGCCAAACAAGGGCCTCATCCCCACTCACCCCCAGCCAAGCACTGAGGTACTCACGGCATTCCTTCTCGTCACTCTTGTCAAAGCAGTCGGGCAGCCCATCACACTGCCAGGAGCCGGGAATGCAACGCCCATTACTGCACATGAAGTTGCCTGGAATGTTGCACTCGTTGGTGAAGTTGTTCCCGGGGAGCAGCTGGCTCTCTGTCAGGAGAGGGAGCAGGAGGTGAGCAGACAGCCACAGACCCCACCACCCAAAGCTGAGTTTCCTCACCTGTTAACCTGGCTGCCCCACCCCACCCCACCTCAGAGATTTTGAGAGCAAGAACTGGAAAAACATAGGTGAGCACACAATGGATCCTCCAGGGTTTTTATTTTCTGTTGTCAAGACAAAAGATGGGCTGTAAAACCTAAACATTCTGCTGTCACCACGGAAGGTGGTTACAACTTAGGGTACAAGCAGAAGAAAGCACTGGCTTCCCAATGCCTCCAGTAGCAGGACTGCCAGATCCTTCCAGGCCTCAGACTTTGGCCCCTACAATCACAGAATCTTTGAATTAGGGCCAAATTGGCAGGAATACTGGGAGATAATTTTACTTTCGGAAATCGGAGCCCGGGCCTTCGAAGCCAATCTGCCTGAGGTTCACACGGGTAGGAAAGGCCAAGCTGAAACTTGAACTAAGGCTTCTAACTCCCAAGGGGGTACCAGGGTCACAGAACTGCTTGCCAAGAGTTACTGAAGATTTGGAACCAAGTCCTAAATTGAGCGTCAAGGCTTCCACCCCAAACATCCCAGGGGCCTTGGGGACAGATTTTCAAGAGAGCCAGGATCTGATCCATCTGATCGGTCTGGGCCAGACTGTGGTCACTAGCTGAGAGATAAAGCATCACCAACAAGCATTAACTGGATATTTATCACCCGACACCCATCCTGTGTCCTAAAGATTCAGAGGAAGGTTAGGGCACCTCCCACCTGGTAGGATCAACACACAAGTATATGAACAATTTTGGGCCATGTGATCCGATTTGTTTTCTACTTGCCCAGGGTGGCAGGAAGAGAGTGGGTCTATGATTAGCTTTGCCAAACAGAAGCAACTCCGGATTTCAGTATCACGGTTCCCAGTATCTCATCTTTCACACCTCTAATCTTATATGGGCTGTTCTTTTTATCTGGAATGCCCTCCTTCAATCGGTTGGTCCTTCTAGTGAATCCCTGCACACCCTTTCGCATCCAACTGATATATCGCCTTTGCTCTGAAGTACTTCCTGGTCACTACCTGCAGAAATGAGCACTTACTCTGTTGTCTGGTGACAGCACTGCTGGGTAATGCTAAGACTACCTTACAACTAGAAAAAGTCAGCAACAACCAATCAGACTGGATGCAGCCACAGACAAGCAATACCACTTCAAGCCCAAAGCCATGGGTAAGCCCCTAGAAGAGCATCCTCCCCACTGTACTGAATTAATGATGCACATGCATGCCTCCCTGCTGAAATGCAAGCATTCAGGGCTCATTAGAGAGCTCCAGAGAGAAGCTAAGTGAGAGGCCCCATACTCCACAACTGTGCACATCAGAGCCTAGAAATCTCTCTGTTCCACCCCACTCCCTCACCCATTTGTCTCCAATCCACGCATCTCTATTTCCATAGTCATTAATAGTCCAAGTCACATCATCTTTTATTGGGAGTAACTCCAAAATCTCCCCAACTTGACATCCTGACGCCAGTCTCCACCTTCTCTGATCCCTCCTCCTCACGGTGGCCAGAATGCTCTTTCTCAAGAACAAATTCTAACACTTCCCTGCTTTAAACAGCCAGGAAATGGCTCCCCAATGTTCTTAAGATAAACTTCAAATTTAAGAGACTCAAGAAAAGTATTAGGAAAGAGGTAGCATTTGCAGTAGATCTTGATAAACACACAGAGATGAGAAGTAAGGGCCCTTCAGACCAAGAGAGCAGTGTGCCAAGACTCAAATACATGGGAATATATAATATAAGGCATCAAAGGGTGTAGAAGGAATAATAAACCACAGGTGTGATTATTAGAAATTACAAATGTATGCTGCCACTGTTCTACCAAGTTAGATATCACTAATCAATTACATAGGAAAAGAGTCTGGAAAGGGTGGCCAGGTGCTTGATCCCAGCCAGACACAAATGGTAAATGCAGAATATCCACACATTCCAGCTGTTTCAGACCAACGGCTCTGGTCTTCACCAGCTAGCTCGGAATTCTTCAGTGTTCCAGCGCCTAACTATCATTCTGTTTTGTTTGGATATCACTTTACGCTTACTTTTTGAGGAGCTAGCTACTCAAAGGCAAGCCCCACTGGAAAAGTCACTGCAACTGTGAATTTTTGTTATGGTAAACAGATTTCTGAAGACAGAAAATTGGACAGATTAGATTCCAAAGTGCTTGCTCTGAGAGCCAGTAAGGCTGGCGGCGTGTGGTCATGACAAATGAAAGGTTGTAATGCAGACACTGAACGATGTCAATGTATGTACGTAGTTGGTCCTTGTCATGCAGGGCTCAGGGACCCTGGCCTGCTGAATGACCCCAGACAGGAAGGGCCGTTCTTTGTGCTGTTCTGAGCAGCTCCATTATGCATCCAAGGGGAACAGAACCCCCTATCCTTCAGAGAAGTGACAACATCATCAAAGTCAAAAGCATGAGAAGAAACCAAAGCAGAGAAAAGCAGCCCCCTGGCGAGTCTAACTTCAAAGTATCTCTCTAACCCATTCAGTTTAGCTCAGTAAACTGGTCCCACCCAGCCCAAGCCACCATCTTTTCCTGACCCTCTTCATCTCAACAGGGAAAGAGAGGACACCTTTGGCCCAAAGGAGACAGCTTTGGTTGTCAGAATTTGTGGCAGTGGTAGTGTGCCATCGAGTCAATTTCAACTCCTAGGGCCTTTATTGGGACAGAGGAGACTGCCCCCTAGGGTTCTCTGGACTGTAAATCTTTGCAGGAACCGATCATCAGGTTGTTTCTCCAACAAAGCAGCTGATGGTTTCAAACCACTGACCTTTTGGTTAGCTGCCTGAGGATTTAATCATTGCTGGTAGCGTAGTGGTTACGAATCGGGCTGCGAAACTTAAGATCAGCGGTTCGAAACTACCAGCCGCTCCGCGGGAGAAAGATGAGGCTTTCTACTCCCGTAAGGATTTACACCCTCAGAAACCCTGTACAGGGTCGCTATGGGTCGGAACCGACTCGACGGCACTTAACAACAACAACAAGAACAAGCACTCCTATTGTGGTGTTTGTAGGATCAACACTGGACTACAAACCACAAAGTCAGCAGTTCAAACCCACCAGCTGCTCCTCAGAAACCCTACACAGAGTCGATATTGTTGTAACTGACTTGACGGCACTTAAAAACAACAACAACGAGCCGGTAGTGTTGTGACTTTTGCATTAGCCTGCTAACTGCAAGGTCAGCAGTTCAAATCCACCAGTTACTCTGTGGGAGAAAGATGAGGCCTTCTGCTCCATAAAGATTTAGAGCCTCCAAAACCCTGCACAGGGACGCTGAGTCGGTACGCAGTCGTAAGAAGCACCCTACAATGCACTGCCCCCACTACAAAGACATGTCCAGCCCAAAAGGTCAGTTGGGCTGAGGATGAAAAGCCCTGCCTGAAACCAGTCTCCCGACTTCCATTTCTCACTCTTACCAGGTCAATCCCTTCCATTTCTTCACAGCAGAGTGAGATTTCAGGATAAAACAGATGTCTGAGGGAGCTGAAAATAAATCTAAAGCTTTTGGTTTGCAAGGCACTGCCCACCCGGACAACCTGGTTTCACATCACCTTCTCAAACACAAGGTCATCTCAACAGCAAGACTCCATCTGAGCTGCTCACTGCCCCCAAACATTCTTCTGCCCACTGTCCACCTGGCTAGCCGATTCATCCTTCAGACCTCAGCTTACCACTTCCTCTGTGATCCCTTCGTTGATACTCAGTCTAAAGCTGTTTCCCATTTTTTCCTGTTGAGCACTGTGTTTTCCTGTACCTCGGTTTCTGGTGGTAGATTTATCGGCACTCTCTCCCATCAGACTACAGCTCCCTGAAGGCAGAGACACACTGTCTGGTTTATCTCTGTATCCTCGGCACCTGGCACTCAGTTGTTACTTGCCATTGACGCATCACAACCACACACACAGTGGAACAAAGGCCTGTGGATTGGACCACTGGGATCTATAGGGTTTTCATTAACAGGTGCTTCGGAGGCAGATCACCAGGCCTTTCTTCCTACTCAGCTTTAGTCTGAAAGCGCCACTGACAGACAGGATGCACACCGGCAGGGAACTGAGCCTGGGTTTCCCATATGGAAGGTGCTAACTCTACCAGTAAACCACCGCTGTACTTCAGTTGTTGCTGTTGTGTGCTATCCAGTCGGTTCTGACTCATAGTGACCTAGGGTTTCAAGGAGCAGCTGGTGGGTCTGAAGTGCCGACTTTGTGGTTCGCAGCCCAGTGCTAATCCTATAGCACCACACCAGGAGTCCAAAGATTTCAGTAGGTCCCTAATAAACATCTGTGGCCACTCTAAGAACTGAGCATGTGTCATGTACGTATTTCCCCAAGCCCTGGTTCTCTTTCTTGGACAGTTCCACCACCCACTCCTGCCTAAGGCCCTAGAATATGAGCAGGACATGTACATGCATCGTTAAAATAAAGGACATAGGTAGGGGTGTCTGGATTTGTGCGAGTAAATTACTACCCTGTCTACTTTCAAAGAGGTTAGAAATCTTTTCCACCTGACAGCAGGACTTTCTTGTGGCTGAAATATTTATCCCTTCTCAGTGTCCTAGTACACATTTAGAACCCAAAACAGACAAGTATTAGCGTGAAGTTGGCTAGCTGGAGTTTCTCCTCCCCACTTTTCTTTCTTTTCATTAAGCTGAAAAATGAAAAAGAGTTACCCATTTTCACTGTTGCACATCACTTACTTAAAATAACTCCACCATCTGCACCAAGAACGGAGGGGGGGGGGGGGGGGGATTCCAAGTCCTCTCACTTCAGGCAAATGCAAAAAATCTGCTCTAACAGCTCTTTCTAAAATTTCTGGCACCCAAAAATTTATATTTGATGACGGGGCCCAAACTGGAGCAACCACCAAAAGTTAAGACAGCTACGACATTCCATCCCTAATTCACATTAACGGAACACAAACTTTCCCAGCTGAGAAATGGGAATTACAG